GCCGCCGCAGCAGCCCGGGTCAGCCGGCCCACGACGACGCCGTTCTCGCCGGCCTTCTCGCCGGCCACCGTGGGCAGCTTTCCCACCTGGTCCCTGCTGCGCAGGCGCCGGGGGCTCCACTGGCTGCTCCTCCGAGACTTCCGGCGGGACAGCCTGGGGGAGCACGGAGCAGAGGCTGAGGCGGCAGCCGCCCCAGGAGAACGCCCGGAACTGGGTCCCGATGGGCATGGCTTTCTCTCTCTGAGACACAAGTGAGTTCTGACGGCCGACCTTCCAGTTCGCAGCCAAGCGCCCAACCACTCAATCACGGGCTCCCAGCAGGGCTGGGGCACCCCCAAACAGAGCCGTCTGCGCAGACGGAGCGCCTGCAGGCCAAGGGTCTCAGTGTAGCCCAGGCTCTGCCACCTCCAGCCACATGACCCCAAGGGGCTCTGGTCTGAGCCTCAGTTTCCCGAGCTGTGAGCTGGGGCAAGTCCCACTGGGGCAATGAGGGCAGCTAAGAAAGCTACCAGGGCTGAGCTCACGCTGTGACACACACACCCTCGGAGGCTTCACAGGTATTACTACCCTCCCCCAAGGGAAACGGAGGCTGGGGAAGTGGGAGGGTAGCCCAGGCATACAGCTGCCTTTGAAGGACTAAGCCAGAGTTGACACCCTGACTGCCTGACCCCAAGACACACACACACACATACACACACACACACACACACAGAGGCTACAGCCTGGCTGACTCTGGTCTGGGGGTCTGGGGTCTCTCACCTTCAGTTCCCCCAGCCAGCCCCTCAGCATGATCCAAGGGATGCCCTCCTGACCCCCACCTCCAGCAGGGGGCTGGCCCTAACTAACACCTGGGGACTCAAACGCCCCCGAGGGGGCAGGATGCCTCAGCAGGCACCCACCCCGGGGCAGCAGAGACTTGGCCCCTCCCACCTTTTCCGAATCGGGTCTCTGTTTTCATCCTGCACAGAAGGCCGCCGCTTCTTCCGCCGGTTCTTCTGGGAAGGTGTTTTGGGCATCAGCTCGGGCTCTTTGCTGAATTCCCTGTGTGGCACAAGGAGGTCAGTGCTGCTGCCCCTTTGGCCACCTGACTTGGCTCACACCCACCCTGCACAAGGGCTTCTCCTGCTGACTCGCAGGGGGTTACGGCTCTGCCAGACCTTCACCCCGAGCGGTGAAGCCCAGCCCATCCCAACGTACCCCCCTCAGAGCCACAGCCAGATCACACTCTGTCCCTGTCTCCCAGGGACAGCAGAGGGGCAGGGTGGCGCATCTGGGGTCCATCAAAGGGAAGGAGAAGAGGTTCCCTTTCCAGACACCACCCCCATCGCCCTCCCTTTTCTGCAAGGAAAGGACGTAGCACCTGTGCTTCCTCCGATGGCCACCAGGGCCCG